AAGAGTCTTTGAGAGTGCTTTTACAGTGAAGCTTCTGTCCCAGAGTTGCTCAAATCAGCCTGATGCTAGACAGAAAATTAAAACTCCAGGAGAGATTTTAGAGGTTTAATGGCATCACACTTGCAAAGGAGCCCAATTTCATTTCTTCTGAAGTGTTCGCTTTCCTATCATTGCTCCTCCCTACAGACATCACAGCAATATTTTACCTAAACTTGCTCTGGGCTTTATTGATAGATACGATTTCCTTATAAAAGTAACATCATCAACATGTCTCAAGAAATGGCATCTAGGACTACTAGTTAAAGTACTAAATATATCTTAGTTGGCTGTTTGAGCATATGAAGAATTGCTGACCTGCAGCTTTCTCTCTCATCTCTTTCTTCCTCACCTTCTGGTATAATTCAGAATCAGTACCTTGCTAGACTTCACCTGCAAACCAGTAGTGCCAATCCAGAAAGGGCCCTAGCCCTAGGAATTCTGAGGGGAACTTCATGCAAATGACAGTAACACAAGCATTCTCCTGGGCTTTTTGATTCATTGCAATGGTTCTAGTTTCTTATCAAGTCCCAGCCACTGTCTGTATTCAAGGGCAGCTTGACCAAACTCAGTAATGAGTGGGACAGTTGAAAGAAAAAATTTTCCCAGTTACGTAAGTAGAAGGCAGAACATAATGTACACATGACACAAGTCTGCCCATAATGTGTAAAAATGCCTTCAGGCTTGTAAGATAATACTGTAGGAATATTTCATCGACAGAGAAGCCAGTCAGGATATCTGGCACAAATGAAAAATTTCTTCTTCCCTGAGATTAGCAGTCCACATGATGATCAGGTAATATAGATCTTATTTATCGTTAAGATCAAGGCTTGGCTGATTAACAGGACAGTAAGCAATGTCCCTGGCCCTTCAACTCAGATGGCCTTGTTCCTCTTCAGCTTGTACAAGCTGCTCCTAAATACTAAGATCCTGCATGCCCTCACAGATGATTCCACTCCCTCAAATGCTGAGCAGTCACCTTTAATAAAAGTTTCCATTATCCTGAGCCTCAGAGAGGAGGCTTTGACCAGAGCCAAATCAGAAGCCTCATTCTAATTTCCATTCTCAAACTGATGGCTCTTTTCCAAGATCAAAGTATTTTCCCACACAGAGCCCAAGTCTGTCATGCAAATTCAATAAGAACTTTACCTACCTAAGGATTGCACAATAATTTTGTTGACAATATTAGTGATACATTGGTGAAGTTACTGACTTACTGTCTTCAGACCAGTCATCACAGTATTTGCACTGCCACTGAATTACTTTTCAGTGTGGTAATTAACTGGCTTTTGTAAAATGATTTCATCAAATCAAATATTTTCCAGAGAAAAATCATAATTAATACCCCGTTACAAAGAGAAATAAACCAAGGCAGAGGAAATCCAAGTGCATCGCACGAGGTCAGATGCTACTGCACTCAAAATTAGAACTTAGTTATCTGAAATCCTGATCTATGCACTGCCCATTGATATGTTCTGCTTGGGCAAAAAGCATCAAGCTGTCCATGTGTGGAAATTACTACCAGGTGCTCTCCTTGCACTGGCACCACAGGTCACCACACAGTGCTGTGACCTGTGCCTACCCAATGGCTTTTGTTCAGCATGTAGGACAAATGTCTTTCACCTCTCTTCTAGCACTGCTTGCAGGAAGTAAATCTTAATTTGAATTCAGGGTGAACACCCACTAAGTATTAGCAATCTCTAAAACAAGACAAATATTTACCTGCAACACACTGCAGATCATCTTATTTTAAACATAAAGCTTGACAATAATTTTGACTGTACATAGTTCACGGCTACTATCAGCAGCTTAAATGGTTTCTGCCTTGAGAGGGAATCACATTTTGTCAGTGACACTCTGTAATATCAACTGCATGTTCCTCAAAGTATGTAATGTTTTTGTGATAACAGAGCTTATGTTCAGCTACAGATGATATTCCATATGAGAACATAAACTGTTTTATGCACAACAGCATTTCCTTTGGCTAAGTTTCCTTCTGATTTCAGTAGCTATAAACCATGATCAAGTTACGTGTCAGGCTAAGTGTGCTTAAGTACTCGTCAAAAGTATAAGCAAGGTTTATTAATAAAGCTGTATCATTCAGCTTGAAAAAAGTTTCTGGACCAAATGCCGCTTTTGGTTCTATGTCTCTCCAGTTCCTTAACACTATGGGTCTCAGCCCCTCATGACCGTCACACATTGCGAATAGTAGTAGTGGACAGATGATCACTAATAAAAGGATAATTTTGTTATTGACTGAAAATATAATCTATTTCTTGAACAGACCACTTGATTGCTACCATAGGATCAGATTGTCTACTAGCCATGCAGCAGCCACATGCTTTCCTAACTGACAAAAGTCATTTATATACTCCACCATTAGTATGAGAAAGCTTGTTTTACCTGTATCTCCTCAAAGGTAAAATCCAGACAGAACAGTATGGCCATCACACACACAGATGCTACCTACATTAAAGGTAGCATTCAGTAACTCAAATCTGGGTGAGATCCACATCAGCTGCAGGACTAC